GGACCTCACCCCAACCAGAGCCTCCTGCTCCCCTTACAGCCCTTCCCTCCCTCCTGCCTCATCCCGGCTGCTGGGATCACCCCTTCCATTTTTCCCCCCTCTTCTGCACTGTCAGTGGGGGATGAAGTGCAGATTTGCTACAGATGTGATCAAGAGAAACATCTGCCCATGAGGGGGGAATAAAGGACAAGAAAAGGAAAAAAAGTAAGAAACGGAGGCAATGTTATTTTGTTTAGCAAAAGGGGTGTTGCGCGAATGGGAACAGAACACCATGGCTTGAATCCTTTTAAATTCATCCCTGGTCTTTAAGCCATTAGTTCTTCTGGTCTGAATCTCTTCTCTCTGGAGGAAAACAAGTAACTCAGTAGTAATCCTAATAAAGATTTTTGTCTCTGAAATACAACATAGTGCTTGCAATATGGATGTCAGGAAAGAACCGGTGACCAGCGGGTAATAAATTCTGTGTATTACCAGCACTGCAGTAGCTTTTACCCCAACCCAGGAGGGATCAGGCTCCTTTCCGACACCCAGCAGAGTCAGTTGCTGTGTTGGAGGCTCCCACTGGGATTTCAGAGCTGGTCGTGGTCAAAGCCTCCCGGGACTCAGAGCTCTGACCCCATCCTGCTCCCCATCCAGCGCTGCTTTCAGGGATGCTTTCTGCAGGGTGGATCTGAAGAGGATCTTGTTTCTGAGAGCAGATGCCCGAGGTCACGGCTGGGCTGGGTGTCAGGTCCCAGTTTCTTAAATCCAAACCCACCCACCACCCTAATAAAATTTCACTTCTTTTTTTTTCTGCATTGCTTGTACTTTTGAGTGGACCAGGGGAAAACCTCCAAACCCCCCAGGTTTAACCTTAAAGCAGAGACCACCTCACTCCACAGGGCAGGGCAGCTGCAAGGACTTGCCTTGCCCGTGGGTCTTTGCTGCAGCCGTGGCCGTGCTTTTCTCCCTTGACATCACTGGGTTGAGCATCATTTCGGAAGGCAAAATAGCGGCAATATCTGGTTAACAGCACCTTTGGTGAGCCACAAGCACAGTGTGCAAGTAGGATCCGAAACGATCGTCATGGCTTAGCCCGGGCAGCTCTCCCAGCACACCTGCATTCTGTACTGGTTTTACTGGCCTTAGGAGAGAAACCCTGAGACAAGTTTAAGGCAATGCCAAATCCATCGGGCTGGGTATCTTGGAGCCCACTTTCAGGTGGATATTCTCCCCGTGGTGGTGTACCAGTACTTGTGGTGTTCTTGGATTTGGGGTGAAAAACCAGCCTGAGTATGGTTTATTGTGGAAGTGAGGAGCAGGAGTCCGGCTTTTCTGACACCTCCTGCACCTTCCCACTCAGGAAAGCATCTTCCAACAGCCAACCTCTCCTCCCAGCTGTGCCTCCTTCGTGCACTCAGATGTTTGTGCTCCCAGATCACTCCCATCATAAAAAAAATGCTCAGGAGCAATTGTTCTGTCTGAAGACTGGGGAGGGACGCTCATACAGGTGCCTGTCGGAAGGCAAGATTTGGACTGAGGTTGCAAATGGAGAAGGCAGCAGCCCCCAGGCTGAGCGATGGCATCTGCAGGTGGCGGTGGGGCTCCTCCTTCGAGGACTTGATTATTTTTAATGACTCGAGCAACAGCTAATTGGCTTTCCTAAACAGACCAAGAAAAATAACTTCAGTTTTCAGTTTAAAAACAAAGGTGAAACTTTCTACTTAAAAGAGAAAGAAATAGGTGGGTGGGTGGGTGTAAAATTAGGTTTTGGTGGAAAAAAAAAGATTCTCAGCCAAACTACAACCTGTGCTCTTTTTTTTTTTTTTTTTAATGAGCCATTTTCAGCTAAAAGTTTTTACTGGAAAAAGACGTTAATCTTATTTATGAGGACACTTTCATTGTGAAACGCTCTATAAATGCCAGGTAATAATTCCAGTTGGATCTCTTACAAACTCTGTGGAAATTCAAACATACGTATATTACATACGCACTGTAAGAAGGGGCTGGGTGGCTCCTCAAGGTTTCTCTTCCACAGTTCCACGACTATATCAATATACTGGTATTTTCTGGTATTTTCTACTATTTTGTGACCATACATTAAAAAATTTCCCAGCAGAGTTTTGCCTTTTGGTTTAGTCATGGATTTTAAAATTGGAAAGAATGACAAGCCTGAGAGATCCTTAAAGCAGGAGGGGGGGGGCACTGGGACCAACATCCATCCGTCCATGTTTATGTGTATGTGTGGGGGTCACACCTCCACCGCCTCCTCGATTTACTGAGTGTTCAGGGGTTACAATTTCCACCTGCCCTCTGAAGCCCAGACTAATTACGTTGGTATTTCACATGAAGCCTGTCTCCAAGCAGCGCAGGGCGTGCGGGGGGGTTTCCATCACCTGTGGAGGAACGCTCGGTGCCCACCAAGGCCGTGTCGGCTCAACGGCTCTGCTGAGCAACCCCCTAAGTGGTGATGTCTCTGCATCCTGCTTTTCCCTTTCCTTGCCTTGCCTTGCCTTGCCTTGCCTTGCCTTGCCTTGCCTTGCCTAGCCTTCCCTTCCCTTCCCTTCCCTTCCCTTCCCTTCCCTTCCCTTCCCTTCCTCTTCCTCTTCCTCTTCCTCTTCCTCTTCCCTTCCCTTCCCTTCCCTTCCCTTCCCTTCCCTTCCCTTCCCTTCCCTTCCCTTCCCTTCCCTTCCCTTCCCTTCCCTTCCCTTCCCTTCCCTTCCCTTCCCTTCCCTTCCCTTCCCTTCCCTTCCCTTCCCTTCCCTTCCCTTCCCTTCCCTTCCCTTCCCTTCCCTTCCCTTCCCTTCCCTTCCCTTCCCTTCCCTTCCCTTCCCTTCCCTTCCCTTCCCTTCCCTTCCCTTCCCTTCCCTTCCCTTCCCTTCCCTTCCCTTCCCTTCCCTTCCCTTCCCTTCCCTTCCCTTCCCTTCCCTTCCCTTCCCTTCCCTTCCCTTCCCTTCCCTTCCCTTCCCTTCCCTTCCCTTCCCTTCCCTTCCCTTCCCTTCCCTTCCCTTCCCTTCCCTTCCCTTCCCTTCCCTTCCCTTCCCTTCCCTTCCCTTCCCTTCCCTTCCCTTCCCTTCCCTTCCCTTCCCTTCCCTTCCCTTCCCTTCCCTTCCCTTCCCTTCCCTTCCCTTCCCTTCCCTTCCCTTCCCTTCCCTTCCCTTCCCTTCCCTTCCCTTCCCTTCCCTTCCCTTCCCTTCCCTTCCCTTCCCTTCCCTTCCCTTCCCTTCCCTTCCCTTCCCTTCCCTTCCCTTCCCTTCCCTTCCCTTCCCTTCCCTTCCCTTCCCTTCCCTTCCCTTCCCTTCCCTTCCCTTCCCTTCCCTTCCCTTCCCTTCCCTTCCCTTCCCTTCCCTTCCCTTCCCTTCCCTTCCCTTCCCTTCCCTTCCCTTCCCTTCCCTTCCCTTCCCTTCCCTTCCCTTCCCTTCCCTTCCCTTCCCTTCCCTTCCCTTCCCTTCCCTTCCCTTCCCTTCCCTTCCCTTCCCTTCCCTTCCCTTCCCTTCCCTTCCCTTCCCTTCCCTTCCCTTCCCTTCCCTTCCCTTCCCTTCCCTTCCCTTCCCTTCCCTTCCCTTCCCTTCCCTTCCCTTCCCTTCCCTTCCCTTCCCTTC